AAGAAGAAGAATTATTTTTAAAAATATATGTTGTAAATAGAAATCCTTTTAGAGACTGTTGGCTAATTTTTCCCCCAATTTGTGGATTTTCTTTTTACTCTGTTGGTGATTCCTTTTGGTGTGCAGGAACTTTTCAGAACGATGAGATTAATTGTTAATTCTTTGAAGTCTTTTCCATGCAGTTTGGTTTTTGTTTATGAACTCTCTGTCTACCCATGTCTTCATGATTTCCACCTCCTTTCTCCTCCAGTGGATTTAGAGTCTCTGTTTTGATATTTAAATCTTTGATCCATTTTGACTGTAGTTTAGTGCATGGTGATAGCACAGGTCTAATTTTAGCCTTTGGCATGAGGAAAGCCAGTTGTTCAGCACCATTTATTTAAAAGGCGGTCTGTTTTTTCAGTGAACATGTCTGGCTCCTTTGCAAAGGTGGCTGAGTGAGTTTGAAGTGGTGTCTGCATACTGTAATCTGGACCATTGATCCTCAGGTCTGTTTGATTGCCAGTATCAGGCTGATTTTATCTCAGTAGCTCTGTGCTGAAAATCAGGTCCCCAACATTTAAGACCCAATTTAAAAATGGGCATCTGAGATGAATATGAACTTCACAGATGAAGAAATACAAATGGCAAACAAATATATGAAAAAAAAATGTTCAACATCATTGGTCACTTGAGAAACATAAATTAAAGCAACACTGAAGATTCCATCTCACCCCAGAAAGAATGACTAACATCAGAAAGTCAACCAATAGCAAATGCTGGAAGGGCTAAAGGGAAAAAATAACACTTCTCCACTGTTGGTGAGAGTGTAGACTGGTAAAACCACTATGGAAGTCAGTATGATGATTCCTAAAAATCTAGGATTAGAGGTCGCATGTAACCTAGCTATTCCCCCCACCCGAGCGTATTTTTCCAGAAGAACTGAAAACATCATATCACAGAGATATAATTGCATCCATGTTTATAGCAGCAAAATTTGTGATAGCTAAATCTTGGAAAGAACACAAATGTCCACCAATTGAAAAATGGATAAAAAGATGCAGTAATTTTACACAATGGAATATTGCTCAGCTATAAAAAAGATAAACTCGAGGCTTTTATAGATTCATAGATGCAACTACAGACCATGCCCATAAGTGAAATAAGTCAGACCTGCACTTGTAAACGTAGCATTGTCTCATTATTGTAAGAACCTGAAAGAGTAAATAAAATCTGAAAAGTGAAATAGATACTGTGGAAGGCAATGAATCTGTTAGAAGGGAAGGAACAGCTGAGATGAGGAAAAGGACAAAGGAAACAAGGAGGGAAAAGGATATATTGATGTATATGTACATAATTTTATTACTAATTTTATTACTGATAATTTTATTACTGATTTCTACTGGACTACTGAAAGGAGCAGGCAATAATGTAATTTTTTATTTTTTATAACTTTTTAGCTCAATTTTGCCTTCTTATATCTGGTTATATGAACTACTAATTTGAAGACAATACTATGCAATATACCAACCATTGTTGATTTCCTCTTCTTTTGTTTAGTGAAATTCTGTATCATGTCTAATGCTTGTTTCTACTACCTTTTTATTCTCTTTAAAAAATTAAAAAGGAGGGCCAGCCAGATAGCTCAGTGGATTAAAGTGCCTGCTTAAACAGATGCAAGGACAGGGGTTCCATCCCCTACATGCCCTGCTGGCCCCATCCCCAGGCATGCTGAGACTGGGTGTGGTGGCAGGTGCCTGTAATCGCAGCTCTTGCGAGGCTGAAAACAGGAGAACCACCATGAGTGTTCTATGTAGTGAGATCATGTAGACCCTGTACTAAATACAAAAAGGAAAAAAGAAAGAAAATGAAAAGAAAC